TTTGGAAAGGGTAAAAAACAAATACTGAAATGAATCATTACATCTTATATTAAAGTATTAAAATAAACACTTGCTAAATGCTGTATAGAATTGTTTATCTATCTTTAATCCACATAATGAAATGCTGAATTAAAAAAAAAACAGAAGAAGAGTTTAAATAATGTGACGTCATTTATCTTTTCACATCTCTTTTAAAATCAATTTCTTTGTCAATTGAACGATGAGTTGACACGTTTATTTGTGATAAATAAACAATATTTCAAATGAGAGTTTAACTACAATATTTCAAGTGAGAGTGAGAGTTTAACTTCCATATTTCAAGTGAAAGTAACTACCATATTTTAAGTGAGAGTTTAATGACAATTATTTCATATGAGAGTTTACCTACAATATTTTAAGTGAGATTTTATATACAATATTTCAAATGAGAGTTTAATTACAATATTTCAAATGAGAGTTTATCTACCATATTTCAAGTTAGAGTTTAACTACAATATTTTAAGTGACAGTTTAACTACAATAANCCCCCCCAACTTTTCTTTTCGTTTCCCTGTTCTTTAAACCTCTTAAGTTGTGTATGGTATAGATAAGAAAATAGGACAACTAAACCTGTGTTGACACTTGGAGACCTGCTGCTCTTCAGAGCCGTGACGTCATCTTGCAAGGCCTGCAGCTCTTTGCTCAGTTCACGCAGGTGCTGCTCGAGGTCCTTGGGGTCCATGACGTCAGCACCCGAGGGGTCCTGCTCCTGGGTTTGACTGCGGAGTTTAACGAGGTTCTCAAAATGCGACAGGGGGTTCGGCTCCTCCTCGTTATTGTTATTCGTTCTAGAAGTATGCAGAACTATTACCGGAGTTACTATCCTCTTGCCCAGGGGCGTAGCTTTTCTGTTATTCTGAAAATATATCCTAATTTTTAACAATTGAGTTTTTGAATGTAATTGATCCTCCATTAAAATATTTTTAAAAAAAATGATTTAAATTTGAGCTTGGCTTACACACACGCACAGACACACCAACCCCCGTTTTTAAACTTAGAGACCGTATTCTCTGACCTACCAGCTCCCATCCCCTGCTCATTGCCCGACCATCAGCCATCATTCCCTGGCTGATTTTAGATTCCGTCTCCACGAGTTTGTCGTGCACCTCCATGTAGTCATGTGTCTTAAGCGCGCCCAGGAATGCCGGATACGCCTTGTCACCGCGCCTCTGAAGTGTCTTTACCAAGAGCCTCGTAACGGCTCTTTCACCTTGACCTTCGGTTCTAAATGTTTTGAAGTAATAATGTGTAAAAGTTTATAAACAATTTGAATAGAAAGTTAGATATATACTCAAATAAGAAATCATTGTGAACAAAATGTATTTAAGTTCGCTGCTTCCTAAACCATGGGTTCCGATCCCAAATGAGGCAACGGAATGTATTCTGCGGGGTTGTTGTCTTAAATGGTAAATTTTAATTATTTTTATATTTAAAGCAGTTTCCTCTGTAATCGGTTTCTGAGTAAAGTTTAAATAATTTAATGATACTTCTGTTTCAAATATTGATTCTCGCTGATCCTCTTTTAATATCATAATTAATATTATTATTTTTTATTTATAATGGTCATGGTTCGCTTTGTTTCTATAAAAAGGAGGTAACTGGTCACGCTTTTTCTATAAAATGGGGTAAAGATATTTTTTTTAAAAAAAGGTTGGGAACCTGTGTTTTAGTTCATTTTATTATGAAATGAATCCTTTAATAGTAAGCCTTCTCATTCATTGGTGTCTCTAACGGGTTTCAAGGCTTCATGTTCCTTCTTTAGCCTTTAATTTCTACTTAATTACTACTAGTGGTGGAGTCAAGTGGAATGTGTTTCTTTGAGCAATTAAGAGCATTTATTTAAGGATTTAATCAGTTATAAACTCATACAGATAAATAAATAAATTGTTATTTGAATTGTCCACTGCATTTGGGCTTTTTTTCTGCCCCCCACAATTTACCTCGCAAACTGGTTGTAATCCATGTGGGTTATTATTTCCCCTTGGTACAACGTTCTGATGACATCTCGGGGCTCAATGTTGTTCTCGATGTATGGCATCTCCATCTCAAGTGTCTCCTTGTGAGCGGAGTCCATAGGAAATACACGCCACAGCACCGGCTCCATGCTGATGAGGTCTGACTCTGTGTAGTTCAGATAAGGCATCAGCTTGTCTTCAGGCTCCTGTACATCCTTGGATTTCTTCGCGTCCCTGGCGTGGGAAAAGAGCCTCAGCAGCGTACTGTCCAGTTTGGTGGCAGAGATGAGAAGATTGTCGTCCACGATGTCTCCGTGATAGTATGTCATGCTGGCCCTGGACAGATGGCGGCGGATGGTTTTCGAACGAGACATCCGCGTGCTAGACTTGTGTTTCCCTAGGCTCGTCGCGCGTCTGTGAACAGTGGACATTTGACGTCTGCTAAGGTTGTTGAGTCTAGAATGAGAGTTACCGTTCTTGCTTTTCGAGACATCCCGGAGAACAGATTCAGATCCAGTGATGGAATTCCGTGTTTTGGATTCGTTCGTTTTTGAGGAATCACGCCGATCCTCATTGGTGTCATCCCACCAGTTGGAACCGATTTTGTCACGTGATTCAGATCTTGAAAACGATTTATATTTATCTTCTGACTCAGTCTCGTGTTTCACTTCTGTGCTGGCACTGCCAAATCTTTCAACTCTCGCATGGGAATCTGGACTTTTAGATTGGCCATCATTTCTACGAGCGTGAGAATCAACGTCACGGTTTTGATAATCATACTTTTCCAATTCATTCTTTTCCCGGTGGGTCTCTTTGGTGGAATCAATGTACTTTGTCTTTTCTGATTTCTTGGAGTCTTTTCTTGATATTTCTGTATGTCTTGTGTCGAGATCTGTTCTGGTCAATCCACCCTCTCCTTGGCCTAAACAGAGACAATATTAAATTGTTAAAGAAGCATTTGTATGGGATGCAGATTTTTAAAAAAAAGATTTTATTTCACTGGCCACTAATGTTATGTTCGAGTAATAAATAAAGAAAGAAAAATAATTACACAGTGTTTTATTAATCAATTTTGAGAGAAAAATGTGGGTTCTGCATTTCCACAGTGCTGCACACAAGCCGCCAACTGAATACAGGATAGGCGAAACATGGTACATCAACTTGACCACATAAGAAAAATTTGAGACTTTGGGAGACTAGAGAAATAGGGTCTTATAAAAGTCTAACAACATACACTAAATACAAACCACTCCCCCTCATATTGTCTTTTATTTCATTCGAATTCAGTGTGGTTTGTTTGTTTCTGGTTGAGTAACGTTTGTTTGTTTCTGGTTGAATTAGGCTTGTTTGTTTCTGTTTGAGTGAGGTCTATTTGTTTCTGGTTGAGTGGGGTGTGTTTATTTCTGGTTGAGTGGGGTGTGTTTGTTTCTGGTTGAGTGGGGTGTGTTTGTTTCTGGTTGAGTGGGGTGTGTTTGTTTCTGGTTGAGTGGGGTGTGTTTATTTTTCTGGTTGAGTGGGGTGTGTTTATTTCTGGTTGAGTGGGGTGTGTTTGTTTCTGGTTGAGTGGGGTGTGTTTGTTTCTGGTTGAGTGGGGTGTGTTTGTTTCTGGTTGAGTGGGGTGTGTTTATTTCTGGTTGAGTTGGGTTTGTTTGTTTTTAGTTGACTTGTTCTTGTTTCTTTCAAATTGCCATTTTGGACCTTTTTAAAAATCCTTTTTCTCTTCTTTTTTATAAATCAACATATTTTTAAAAAAAATTAACTTGACTTACGCTATTTGAGAAATAATCTCATGTAAAAAAGCATCCGTTCAAATGTTGACATTTAGAAAAGAAAACTGAGATAAATATTTAAGTGCGTTAAATTATAAAAGTTTTTTGTATTATACTTGCGTTGAAACAACAACAAGAAAATATAAAGAGTTAAGAAAGCAAGAAATAAAGCTGTACCATAATCCTTATCTTTAGTTCCTTCGGTCTTGAAATTATCTGTATCAATATCACCCCTTGTCAGTGTACGAGTTATGTCCTCCGTGTGTGGTAGGGAGTTCTTGGTGTCTGGGATATCGTTAGAACTTAGGAATGCAGAGACAGTTATTTAATGTATGCGATAAACATTAAATAAATAACTAAACTTCTACTGTTTGAAAATATATAAAATATCGCTTCCAAACGTTCCGAATGGTTTAATTCTAGTCCTAGACTCTCTCTCTCTCCCTCTCCACTTCTCTTTCCATTTCTCTCTTTATTTCTTCCCGTTTTTCTCTCTCCCTCCATCTTCCCGCTTCCATCTTTTTCTCCCTCCCACTTTTTCTCCCTCTCTTTTTCTCCTTCTCTCCATCCCTCTCACTCCCTCTCTCTTTCTTTCTATCTCTTTCTCCCACTCTATCCCTCTCACCCACTTTCCCTCTCCCGCTCTCTCCCCAACCCCCTTTCCTCTCCACTCCCTCCCCTCTCCCTCCCTCCCTCTCTCTTTCATTTTTTTTTCTAAATTCAATTACGATATAGCTAAGTGGTCAAAATTATTTTAAAACAACAAAAAACAAAAAAACACTTACCCAGAGCTTTTCATGTAAGAGTAAGGCCCGAAAGTTGTGTCGAACGCTGAAAGATCCTCTTTGTGTACGGCTGGATTGGGAGACTTTGATCTCCTCGGCACAGGAAAGTCTGACTTGGATTTGAAAGTGTCCTGCCTGTCCAAGTCATCTACAGGGGGTGACCGTTTGCGCCATTCTGGTGATCTCCGCTGAACTTCCGGTGTCTTTGTCTGATAGTCAATAGATTTCGTGTCACCGTCTTGGGACTTGGTGTCGTGTTCCGGTGAATTAGAATGATAATCGATCGATTTGACGTCATCGTTGGAGTGAGTAGAAATCCTATCGGGAGATTGCGCTCGGTCAGTGGCGACATTGTTGGGTGTCCTGAGGGAGATGATGTGGGTCCTCGTGTCTGGCCTCCTCGGGCGGTATTCGGGCATCTTTGTGGGGTGTTCAATATCGTGGGTGGTGTCTCGCACTTTTATGATGCCTTTCATTAAAATACTCAAGAGTTTTAATATTATGTCTTTTTTACTTAATTTTTTTTAAAGATGATAGCCGTCAAATAGAAAGTAATAATTTAACGAAAAGTAGTTAAAATATTTGTTTTTTGTTCTGGCTCTTGACAGCAAGCAATATCGAAGTTAGAGTGTTGGCAACCGTAAAGCTGGTGATCCGGACAATCTAGTGAGTTGAATAATCTAGTTGAGTATGTATTAAGGGCTATTCGTTTTTTAATAACGCAAGCTGAGTGATTTCTAGAAAGAACGCTTATTGTCAAATTTTAACCAAATTCTCAAATGAAAAACCAAAAAGTGTTAAGTTTACCAGTCTTTTTTATCACGTTATACTTATCAGCCATAGTTTGGGCGGAACCTTGATTAACAGATTCCGAAATATGTATAGTTTAAAATAACAGAAATTTGCTTTAAATTTAAATCTAGTATCCCGATCTTACTCAAGCAAAATACCCTTGATCAGGGTTTCTTTCAGGCATCTCTCCGGGGAAATTTAAGTGCCCCCCGGAGCAAAATGGGTAAAACAATAAACTGATTATGTATTTTTTAAATTAAAAAAGATTAAATTGTCATTTTTAAACAGTTTTAAAAATAATAATAACTTATCTGATTACAATTAGTGGAATCTATTAAATATTGATACGCTCGATATATTTGATGATCCGTATAATAAAGGCTAATTAATGAATGCCTACAGTATCGACTATTAATATCGTCTGCCTGCTTCTGCTTATAAGCCGAAGCCTTACTTCCCATTGTTCGCACGTATTGATCTTTTTATTTATTTGTTATTATTATTATATTTTATTTATTTTTTGCTAATTCGTAAATTTAAACACTTAAATAACACTGTATTAAAATACCTTTACATCAAGATCAAGGACTAAAATTCGTGCCCACTGTAAAACATAAGCAATCTATGTTCAAATTATATTTCATTATAAAAGCATTACTTTTAAGTAGGGATGTGTGTTAATTATAAACTGTATGATTATATTAGGCTTAAAGAAATATTTTGATTTGCATAATTATAAATGTACTCGATTCCATGAATGTTGAGTTAGATAAAAAGGAAACTTAAAAAAAAAAATTAAAAAAAAAAATATTTTGAAGAATTAACCGGCACACACAAATAGTGCAACTTTTATTAATTATTATATTAAAAAAATGTGTGTTTTCTTTAAACATGCTACGTTTGTAACAAAGTTTCCTGAATAACACAAGAAAACAAAAATGTTATTGTTAGTGGAGTAGCTAGTGTTAGGGCTGATACATACACAACCTAGTGGAGTAGCTAGTGTTAGGGCTGATACATACACAACCTAGTGGAGTAGCTAGTGTTAGGGCTGATACATACACAACCTAGTGGAGTAGCTAGTGTTAGGGCTGATACATACACAACCTAGTAAAGTAACTAGTGTTAATGATACCTTAGTCTTGACATGACTTATGGCAGGCTCCAATTAACGATACAAACTCTGCTTTTCTCATAAAATCCTGTCCCTCAAAATAAAGAAAAAGTGACCTCTGGGCTGACCACCAACCCGCCTCACGTGCTGCGGCGTAGCTAGAGTGTTTGGCGTCATGAAAAATTGATTCATTTTCACGCGCCCCCCCCCCCCTTTTTTTCAACTAGGAAAACCATTATTTTGGTGCATTAAATACCATCACACTCCATAGTGGCGTCCCCGCTAGTATGGTGCATCTGTCCCTTATGTTAAGATGACTTTAAGCAAATGACAAGACAATCTTTTTATATGACTGATTAAAAAGATAATAATTTATCAATGAAGTAGTTTAAACAAAGAATTTTTTTAATGACTATTTGTTAACAGATAAACATAAACTATATTTGTGTTATCTCCTACAGGTAAGGGTAGCTGAATGTCAATGAGCAAGGCTTTTGTTTCTCGTTGACCATAAGTAGAAGAAAATAAAAATAGTTTTTTTGTTTATCTTATTATTTTGGTATGTGCGCGTTTTTTTTTTTAATGTAAATTTTGGCCCCAAGAGTCAAAGCCTGGCTACGCCACTAAATGGAAATATATGTAGTCGTCTGCAACCCTCAATTGCTGCCACGATTCAATAACCCACAGAAGAAATGCCCCACAATACAATCTTATTTTTCATATCACACTAAACTTAGGTTTAGGCCTATCTCACAAAATATGCCCAGTTGCGTAGCTAAGATCAAGATTTGTGCCGCTCCCACTACGAAAATATCTTAAGATTGTCTAAAATGGCGTCCTTAAATATAAATATATTAAAAAAAACAGCTGCCCGTGGAGCCACCCCACCTCCACCCACACACACTTTGTTCCTCCCCCCCCCTCCAACATGCCGAAATCATTTTTTTCTTCTTAAAATTTTGCAGATTGCTTGAAAGTTCACTCACCAGAATTGTTGGACCGAAGTTTGCTGCGAAGTGCATCGTCATCTACATCGGTCATTTCACGCTTAAGCGAGGGGCGGGCTGACCTCTCTCTGTCCATTCTGTTAATCTCTGTGTCAGATGATCCTCTATAGAAACTATAGAGATCTGTGTACAGTGAATCTCAAGGAACCAATAGATATTTTTACAATAAAATTAGAAATCTCAGGCTGTTAGCTTGTTAAAGGAAATATACTACTTTAACAGATCTCTGACATGCAATCATAAACCAGTGAAGGATCGAGAAGAATTCATGAGATTGTGCAATATATATATATATATATATATATATATATATATATATATGCATATATATATATATATATATATATATATATGTATATATATATATATATATATATATATATATATATATATATATATGTAAGAGTAAGGCATTGTTTTAGTAGGTTTTAATTTAATTAATTAATTTATTATTATTATTATTTCTTTTTTTCCTTTGTCCAGGTTGTCCGTAAACTGAAAAAAGTAGTCTAAAATTTAAAATGTTTTAAAATCTTTCATATAAACTTCGATTTTGTTCGTGGGTCTCATTCTGGGGTTGGGGCTAAATCTTCGGAAAGCTAATTGACCCACTCCCCGTCAACCTATCGAGCTGAAACTTGGAAAACTAGCTCCTTGCCGATGAAATCACATTCTTTCAAATTTTCAGTCCCACCCCAAAATCCCAAAACTCAGTATTTTAAGAGATGGCTAATTGCCCCACTTATCATTATCCTATTGAGCCGAATCTTTGCAAATAAACTAATTGTCAATAACAACATATTCTTTCAAATTTTTAGCCCAACCCCACCACCAAAACTCAGTTTTTCCTTTGTTTTTCAAGAGGGGGGAGGGGGAGGAATGTTAAAGATTTTTTTTCACGGATGCGTGTTTTGGTGTGGGGATTAGTTGTGTAAATGTTGCTCTGTGCTCTGTATTTGTGACCTATTTGGTTAAGCTGTAAAAATGAAATGTATTTTTGAAGGGAAAATGAACCAAATATAACACGTGTTTTCGCCAGAAGTTTATCCATTTACGTAAACGCTTCTTAATCAACGATGAATCACGTACAATGACATAAATGCAAACAAAAATGGATATAACGGATTTATACGAAAAAAAATTTTTTTGTTGTTTTTTTCTCGATTTATAAAAAAATTATCTGATATTCTGGCATAAATAAATGACATAACTAAAATAATACAATTAATCCAATTTTGGATCATGATTATTTATGGGTTTTTTTTTTCAAAAGCACGCATCATTGTCAGAAGAGGTTTCCGTGTCTTCACAAATAATTGTTCATTTTTTGATACTCATGGCGCCAACAATTTCAAAACAGTGGCGTAGCAGGGTTTAGTGCCACCGGACGGGCGGGCATTTGCCGAGCTCTGTGAGGTCGATGTCCAGCACCACAAGCCTCTCGGTGGTGTTACACGGGATCTTGCCTCTTCGTGGAGTGCCCGACTAGTAAGGGGGGGGGGGAGTTTTCCTTCTGAAGCCAAAAGATCCCATGCAAAAAGCATGACTTCCAACGCAACGGAAGTTGAGCGCTAACATGATTACTTGTTGCCGTTGATGGGTATGAGGCAATGGGTGGTTTCCCAAACCCTTGTCAATGATTAAAAAGACGCGGCCCTGAGAAAGCGGCCCCTAGGCGACCGTTTCGTCCCCACTACGTCCCGACCGGACAGCTCCCTGGGCGGTGGGGAGTGGTAACGCAACACCACCTCTCCGGAGAGGAAGTAAAGCCGTCCTGACCCATAGGAGAGCGGACTACGTACGCTTTAAACGCAGCGCCCTCGGTCAGGCCAGTGAGGGAAGTTTCCGGCGCACTTTCGCACGGTCTGGGGCTTCGGGGGAGGCCTTGGCCCGTTTGGGGGAGTGCCGGGGGGATATTATGAGTGCAAACTCGACGAACTACCGACACCATCTCCATAGTAACGTTATTAGTGCCACCCGGAACCGTTCAAGATTATTGACGCCTCCCGTATGGACAGAACTCTGCAGTTCACCGAAAATTTCCCCCCTCAATATCTATAACAAAAATGCCACCCTGGTTGGACCACCCGCTCCACCCCTCCACCCCCATCCCACGCCAGTGTTACAATGTCCTTGTTTTTAATTTTAAAATGTCCCGGAATTTAGAGTGGAACAAGCACGTTCACCTTACTCTAGCGAGAACTTTGAATTTTTTAAAATGATAAACGTTACTTAATCTGATCCCTCACCAGTGGCTTAGTCAGGGTTATGCCAAGAATTTTGCCAGTCTCCGTGCAGTTTACCGAAAATGCCGACCCTCAAATAAGAGAACAAATGTGTGCCACAAGGGGCATAACACCTCCCACCATACCCCATCCATGCGCCCCCCCCCCCCCCCCCCCCCCCCCCCCCCCACTCATAACGATGTAAAAGACAGCTGTTTAGTTATGCATATTATTAAGAAAAGAAATGTTATTTCACCTTCTTATAAAGTATGTCCATTAACACGAATATTAACACTTAAAATATCTACTATAAAATTCACATTTAAAGTTCTACCATCCATATTAATATTATTTTTAAACATTTACCACTACAGTACATGTAACATAAACCAAGTACACTGACCTTTATGTTAACACATGTTCTATTTGCTTATTTAAGAAATCCTGCCGCCTTGAGGCAGTCGGACACATGCATTAAGAACCAATAACACGAGATATAAGTATCGACCTAATGCAGCAGCTAGCAGCAACACAGACAAAGCCACCACCCGTGTATACTCTCTAACTCCAAGTTTGTCGGTCTCAGGAAACTCTCTTAAGTACCGCTTCTCGTCTGTAGCGGTTAGGCCATTACCATATATTTATATCTGTACACAACATTTCTAGGCCTCATGCCCTGTATTTACACTATAATTCTAGACTGGCGTAATGCATGTTTTGGGGCTTTCCAAAGCCTCAATTGTTCAATGGTGTATTTGTTTAGTAATTATATTTTGTTATGTTACATTGAAGTTTTTATCTGTTCATGATATATTTGGTTCCCCATGGAAATGTATATTCACATACATCTCTTTTTTATGATTGCAAGACTACAGCTCAGTGTAAGTCCAGAAATATCCCTTCTAATCTTGTATGGTGGATTAACGATAACGGGTCTCTAGTAAAGATGGAACTGCATTTCAATAATAATATTTATAACCAGCGGTGTGCTGGAGTCGGTTCGGTCGGTGTGTATTATTCGTCGAATGTAACCTAGGTCAACTTAATTTCCATGCAACTAATACAGGAACGGTAATTCAAGAAGTAGCATGCGTATTATGTCTGAGCGTCCACCCAGTGAGTCAAATAGTGTGTCATCTGTTACCTCTCCACCTAGTGAGTCAAGTACTGTGTGGCATCTGTTACCTCTCGGTACGTTAAGGCGTTATTCTACGGAGAGAAAAAAGATACAAAATATGTTCAATGAGTTTTCTCCCCTTTATAATTATTATTTTTTTAAACAGCAAATTTGATAGGGAAAACTTGCCGATTTAAACATTTGATCTCAAGCTCTCTGTTTATCAGTTACACGAGTCACCCATTAAGTATTTGTCAGTCACATGTGTCACCCATTAAGTGTTTGTCAGCCAAATGTCACATGTATCACCCGTTATTTCTTTCCCAACTGGAATATTTTCTGTCAAAAAAAATTAATTAATTTAACATCCTTTACCTCAGTGTTTCTCAAATGGTGGTCCGCAGACCGGCGCCGGTCCGCCAGCCCTTACATTACGGGTCCGCGTAACATGAAGATTCATGGTAGAATAAAAAGAAAATGTAATTAATAGACATGGCATCGGTCCCTGGGGCAATTTCAAAACGTGGCCACCGGTCCGCCAAACTTTAAAGTTTGGGAAACGCTGCTTTACCTAGAAACAAGAACATAAACAATTTCCTGTCCCTAGCACCAATAACATAACCAACTCCATGTCCCTAGCAACAAGAACATAACCAAAAACATGTCCCTAGCAACAAGTACATAAATAGCACCCTGTCCATGGCAACAAGAACATAACAAACTCCGTGCACTTAGTAAGAAGAACATAACCAACTCCCTGACCCTAGCAACAAGGACATAACCAAAAGCCTATCCCTAGCAACAAGAACACAACCAAAACCCTGTCCCTGACAACAAGAACATGAACAACTCCCTGTCCCTAGCAACAAGAACATACCCAACTCCCTGTCCTTAGCAACAAGAACATACCCAACTCCCTGTCCCTAGCAACAAGAAAATAACCAACTCCCTGTACCTAGCAACAAGAACATAACCAACTCCCTGCACCTAGCAACAAGAACATAATCAACTCCCTGTACCTAGCAACAAGAACATAACCAACTCCCTGTACCTAGCAACAAGAACATACCCAACTCCCTGTACCTAGCAACAAGAACATAACCAACTCCCTGTTCCTAGCAACAAGAACATAATCAACTCCCTGTACCTAGCAACAAGAACATAACCACTCCCTGTACCTAGCAACAAGAACATACCCAACTCCCTGTACCTAGCAACAAGAACATAACCAACTCCCTGTACCTAGCAACAAGAACATTACCAACTCCCTGTACCTAGCAACAAGAACATAACCAACTCCCTGTACCTAGCAACAAGAACATAACCAACTCCCTGTACCTAGCAACAAGAACATAACCAACTCCCTGTACCTAGCAAAAAGAACAT